AAACAATGTGGGCTTGGTAAATAATTGGACAGCCTTCTGGGGAAAACCTGGTCTGATTAAGAGAGACGGCATTCATCCTACTTTGGAAGGTGCAGATCTCATTTCGGCAAACATTTCAGGGCTTTGTGGACTTAATCCATGACAAACTGGAGTTGAGACCAGGAGGCGGAGTCGCAGTCTTACACGCTTCTCTGCGCTCTCTCCTAGGCAGTCATTCATAGGAATCCCGAACCCAATAAAATACCCAATATTAGCGGTGTGTGTGTCTGCCCAAGGACAAGTTAAGGTAAAACCTAATAGAGGTGTCATACATAATAACCTAATAAAAGTAAATGTAACAACTACTACAGTGCAACTAAACAGGAAGATTAAATGTGGACTCTTAAACATAAGATCTCTAGCATCTAAAGCAATATTGGTAAATGATTTAATATCAGATTATAATATTGATATATGCTGTCTCACTGAAACTTGGTTGAGACATGAAGAATATGTCAGCATAAATGAGGCCACTCCACCCAGCCATATCAATACGCATATTGCCCGAGGCACGGGCCGAGGAGGTGGAGTTGCAGCAATCTTTGACTCAAGTTTACTTATCAATACTAAACCAAAATTAAATTATACCTCCTTTGAAAGTCTCGTTTTTAGTCTTACGCATCCGACCTGGAAAACTTTGCAGCCAATCTTATTTGTTACAGTGTACCGTGCACCAGGTCCTTATTCAGAATTCTTATCTGAATTCTCTGAGTTTTTATCAACTTTGGTTCTTAAAACAGATAAAGTAATTATCGTAGGTGACTTTAATATTCATGTTGACGATGATAAAAATAGCCTTACTGTTGCATTTAACTCTATATTAGATTCTGTTGGTTTTTGTCAGAGTGTAAATAAACCAACCCACTGCTATAATCACACTCTCGACCTTGTTCTGACTTATGGTATTGAAATTGAGCAACTATTAGTCGAACCGCATAATCCTGCTTTATCCGACCATTTCTTAGTAACTTTTGAAATACTGTTACTAGACTACAAAGCATTAGTCAAAAGCTCCTGCAGCAGAAACCTATCTGTTAGTGCTATAGCCACATTTAAGGAAGAGATTCCACCAATACTTAACTCGATAGCATGTCTGCATGTAAGGGAGGAAACTTATACAAAATGTACACCACCCCAAATTGATCATGTTGTTGATAGTGCTACAGATGCGCTGCGAATACAATTAGACTCTGTTGCTCCTTTGAAAAAGAAGAAAATAAAACAACATAGATTAGCTCCATGGCATAATGCCCAAACCCGCAAAATAAAGCAAAAGTTGAGACAACTTGAAAGGATATGGCGTTCCACTAAACTTGAAGAATCTCGTTTAATTTGGCATATTACTCTCAATGAATATAAGAAAGCACTGCGTAAAGCGAGAGCAGCCTACTACTCTTCATTAATAGATGAGAATAAGAATAATGCAAGATTTCTTTTCAGCACTGTAGCCAGGCTGACAGAAAGCCACAGCTCGATTGAGCCTTCTATTCCCATAGCACTCAGTAGTAATGATTTTATGTGCTTTTTTAACGATAACATTGTTACTCTTAGAAACTACATGAATGACCTCTTGCCTTTGACCAGTATAGTGTTATCAACAGCTCCCGGAAACGTAAGTTCTAATATTACACTAGATAGTAAACTAGAATGCTTTTCAGCCATAAACTTTGAACAATTAAATTCAATGATTCTCTCTTCTAAACCATCAACGTGTATCTTAGACCCAACTCCAACTAAGCTGTTGAAGGAAGTTTTTCCATTAATTAGCACTTATTTATTAAATATTATGAATATGTCTTTATTATCAAGCTATATTCCACAATCATTCAAAGTAGCAGTGATAAAACCGCTTCTTAAAAGCACAACCTCGATCCAGAGGTTTTAGCCAACTATAGACCTATTTCTAATCTTCCGTTCCTCTCAAAAATTCTTGAGAAAGCGGTCGCAAAACAGCTGATTACTTAAAAAACAATGATTTATTTGAAGATTTTCAGTCTGGCTTTAGAACACATCATAGCACAGAGACAGCTCTGGTTAAAGTCACAAATGACATTCTAATAGCCTCAGACAAGGGACGTGTCTCTATTCTTGTTTTGCTCGATCTCAGTGCTGCATTTGATACTATCGACCATGATATCTTATTGCAAAGACTAGAGCACTTAGTTGGCATACAGGGAACTGCTTTAGGCTGGTTTAGGTCCTATCTATCTGAACGCTCTCAGTTTGTACGTGTCAATGATGAATCTTCCACGCAAACCAAAGTTAGCCATGGAGTGCCACAGGGCTCAGTGCTCGGACCTATTTTGTTCACATTATATATGCTTCTGTTAGGCAATATTATAAGGAATCATTCTGTAAACTTTCATTGTTATGCGGATGATACTCAACTATATTTATCAATCAAGCCTGATGAAATTAATCATCTAAATAAAATTCAAGACTGCCTCAAGGACTTAAAAACGTGGATGATCTTAAACTTTTTGATGTTAAACACGACCAAAACTGAAGTTATTGTACTTGGCCCGAAGAATCTACGAAACAAATTATCTAAGGATATACTAACTATGGATGGCATTAATTTGGCCTCCAGTGAGACTGTAAGGAATCTTGGTGTTATATTTGATCAGGATTTATCCTTTAACGCCCACATAAAATCAATTTCAAGGACCACCTACTTCCATCTACGTAACATTGCAAAAATCAGGCATATCTTGCCTTAAAACGATGCAGAGAAACTAGTCCATGCATTTGTTACTTCAAGGCTGGATTATTGTAACTCTTTATTATCAGGGTGTACCAAGAAGTCAGTCAAGTCGCTTCAGCTGATTCAAAATGCTGCAGCTCGTGTACTAACCAGAGTTAGGAAAAGGGACCACATTACTCCTGTTCTGGCTGCCTTACACTGGCTCCCTATAGAACACAGGATAGAATTTAAAATTCTTCTTCTCGCCTACAAAGCCCTTAATGGGCAGGCGCCATCTTACCTTAAAGAACTCATTATACCCTACTGTCCTACTAGGGCATTGCGTTCCAAGAATGCAGGGTTGTTGGTTGTTCCTAGAGTCTCTAAAAGTACAATGGGAGCCAGAGCCTTTTCTTATCAAGCTCCACATTTGTGGAATCAGCTTCCAGTTTGTGTTCGGGCGGCAGACACTCTATCTGTTTTTAAGAGTGCGCTTAAGACCTTCCTTTTTGATAAAGCTTATAGTGATACAATAATCTAATAAGAGTGCATTGACGTAGATACGTTGTGCCTCTTCACCTATACATTTGAGTTCTTACTCTTTCACTTAAATCCTAAAAACTTAGATCTTATATTTAAAACTTTATCCAAACCTTTCCCCCCTCTGACCTCTCAAGGTTCTATTAGAGGGTAACAGGTTGCAGAGAAGGCCTAGCCCGGCCGGGGAGTGTGGAACGTAGCCACTGACCCACTCCTCACCTCTAACCAATTCAGGTTCCAGTGGGGACCTCTCTCCCTGCGTGCCTCTCCACCTCTGTTTCCTACTTCTTACTTGCTACCCTTTTCCCTCAACCTATCCTAAGGGAGTGCATGTATGTAGACACGTTAGTTTAGCTGCTATAGGCTTGGACTGTTGGGGGGGGCCCCTTACTTCGTCTTTCTGGCTGTCTGTACCTGTGTACTCTCATGTTCCGATTAACCCAGCTTCCCCCAAATCTCTTTTTTGTGTCCATATATACGCCGGGATCCTGAGTCGAGGCTGATCCTGTTGCTGTAGTCGTGTGTCCTGGATCCTCTATCCTGAGCACTGGATCTATGTCCTGGACTTCGAGTCGTGGCTGAACCTGTCTCTGCGGTCCTGCCAGACTCTCACCATACTACTTCCCTGATGGCTCCCACAAGAATGCTGACATCCTCGTGGATTCATCTTCTTATTACAGACACATGCATTTCCAAACATTTGGACTACCTATGTTGCAAATGTATTATCTTTTCAATTTACACACGGCATCTATTGCACGTCTGTCCGTCCTGGGAGAGGGATCCCTCCTCTGTTGCTCTCCCTGAGGTTTCTCCCATGTTCCCTTTAAACTGTGGGTTTTCTCCGGAAGTTTTTCCTTGTACGATGTGAGGGTCTAAGGACAGAGGGTCTAAGGACAGAGGGTCTAAGGACAGAGCGTCTGAGGACAGAGGGTCTAAGGACAGAGCGTCTGAGGACAGAGGGTCTAAGGACAGAGCGTTTGAGGACAGAGGGTCTGAGGACATAGCGTCTGAGGACAGAGGGTCTGAGGACAGAGGGTCTGAGGACAGAGGGTCTAAGGACAGAGCGTCTGAGGACAGAGGGTCTGAGGACAGAGCGTCTGAGGACAGAGGGTCTAAGAACAGAGCGTCTGAGGACAGAGGGTCTAAGGACAGAGCGTCTGAGGACAGAGGGTCTGAGGACAGAGCGTCTGAGGACAGAGCGTCTAAGGACAGAGGGTCTGAGGACAGAGGGTCTGAGGACAGAGGGTCTGAGGACAGAGGGTCTGAGGACAGAGCGTCTGAGGACAGAGCGTCTGAGGACAGAGGGTCTGAGGACAGAGGGTCTGAGGACAGAGGGTCTAAGGACAGAGGGTCTAAGGACAGAGGGTGTCGTATTGTCATACTGATATTCTGTACAAACTGTGAAGTCCACTGAGACAAATGTAACATTTGTGATATTGGGCTATAAATAAACATTGATTGATTGATTGATACTGCAAAATACACAGTACATGTACTACTGCAGAGTACTGGAAAACACACAGTACATGTATGTTGTTATATTTATGCATATGTATTATCTATTTATTTTTGCATTTATCATATATAATACACATGTATTTATTATAAAAGTACTAATAGCCCACTGTAAAAAGTGCTCATGTAGAGGTTTCTCTGGGGACAAACGTGCACAGGTACACACTTCTGTGTACATTTATGTATTAGTACACGTACGGATGTGTATAAGTAAACATACACATGTGCGGTCGGCGCGGCTGCTGTCGTATCCCGTGGTGACGTCGCGGACGTTAGCGACACGCACGCCGCCGCAGCGCTGGGGGTACGAGTCCTCGCCGTGGAAGTTCCTGAGGCGGTGGAAGATCCTGCTGACGGTGGGGGGGTCGTCACAGATCACATAGGACGTCTGCGACAGGTGGGGCCCGTACCTGCACACAGGAAGACACCACACACCCCGCCAAAATAAGAGATGGAACTCGGGTCATTAAACATTATTACATTTCGTTTTTTGTCTTTTCAAAGTAATAATTGTTCGCCTGCGTGTTAAACAGGAAGTACGTACGTGTGGTAGATGTTGAGCAGCTGCTGGTTCAGACTCAGGCTTTTATTGTGAAGGAACGTCGCCATCTCAGCCATGACCGCCGCCGCGCTCACGCCGTCTTTATCCGGGATCGAACCGCCACACAGGAACCCTGCCGACAGGAAGGACATCCATCACTAAAGAGGTGTGTGCCGTGGTAAAGGACACATATATACATATAAGAAGGATAAATAGTGAAATTCTGAGAAAAGATATTAGGGTTAGAATAAATAAAAACATTAAATTATATAATATACAATTATATAAGACAATAAATACAATTTAAAAAAGATTTAATACGATAAATTATGATATATGTATATATATATTTATAGATATGGTGTTACCGATGGACTCCTCGAAGGCGAAGATGACGCTGTTTCCTGCTTTGGAAAGCTCGTGGATTCTGTTCCCGATCCACTTAAAGCCCGGCAGAGTCTCCTGAAGAGCGACACACACGAAACACTTGATAACATATTCTATATTTAAATACGGAAAGATGTAAACTCTCTTATATTCTCTGAGGATGATTTGGTAAATGTATATCACAAGAAGTTACAAGAAGAAAAACACTGCATTTCTCTGTATTAAAGTTGTACATTAAAGCATGGGCGTAGGAAGCATCCTCAATGTGGGTGGGACAATTTGACGGGGGGTGTGGGCAGGTGGTGGACCTCACCTCCTCTAGGGGGGTCCGGGGGCATGCTCTATCTGGTGCACTCTGAGAGCAACATGAGGGACTAAATCTATGGATACACCTCTCACCACCACCCATGTGAAACAGTACTGTTTAAAACAGACTTACTTTTCCTTTATGCATATTTGACTAATCCTCTTTTAAACGGTGTTTGTTTTACTGCCCGATAGAATGAGCTGGAATTATTTCATACCTGTTATTCTCTTGTTTTTTATAATGATCATATAAAAGGTGTGCCTTGGAAATACTTGTTTACATGAGATAACTAAAGTCAACGATCTAAACCAGGGGTGGGCAATTATTTGTTCCATGAGAAACCAAAGATATTGTGGAGGGCCGGCCAAAAGGCTGAACTCAACTCTGCATAATATGAATTGTATTTCTTTATAAAAAGCAGTAAATAGCATTGTTTTGACAAGCTGGTAAGAGTATATGTTATAGTTGAGCAATGAAAAGTGAGCTTGCCTTACAGAGAATGTAATTTATTCAATCAAATTTCCCAAAACAATGGTAAACAAAATGTTTTTCACCATTTCTGACTCATATTAATGAACATTTTCAGTCGCATTCACTCAAACACATTTTGAGTTTCATTTACTGTTGGAAAGTTGTGTAAAGGTTCTTAGCATTCTTAAGACATCACAACAATCAATCAATCAATCAATGTTTATTTATAGCCCAATATCACAAATGTTACATTTGTCTCAGTGGACTTTACAGTTTGTACAAAATATCAGTATGACAATACGACACCCTCTGTCCTCAGACCCTCTGTCCTCAGACCCTCTGTCCTTAGACCCTCTGTCCTTAGACCCTCTGTCCTTAGACCCTCTGATCGTACAAGGAAAAACTTCCGAAGAAAACCCACAGTTTAAAGGGAACATGGGAGAAACCTCAGGGAGAGCAACAGAGGAGGGATCCCTCTCCCAGGACGGACAGACGTGCAATAGATGCCGTGTGTAAATTGAAAAGATAATACATTTGCCACATAGGTAGTCCAAATGTTTGGAAATGCATGTGTGTATAATAAGAAGATGAATCCACGAGGATATCCATCCAGGACCTATGATCCAGGACCACAGCCACGACTCAAGATCCAGGACAGAGAAGCGCAGGATCATCCATGACTCCGGATCCCGGCGTATATAGACACCAAAAAAGCTGGGTTAATGGGAACATGAGAGTACACAGGTATAGACAGAGAGAAGGAAGAAGTAAGATGTCCCCCGACAAACTAAGCCTATATCAGCAAAACTAGGGGCTGAATCTAATCAGCCCTAACTATAAGCTTTATCAAAAAGGAAGGTCTTAAGCGCACTCTTAAAGACGGATAGGGTGTCTGCCGCCCGAACACAAACTGGAAGCTGATTACACAAATGTGGAGCTTGATAAGAAAAGGCTCTGGCTCCCATTGTACTTTTAGAGACTCTAGGAACAACCAACAACCCTGCATTCTTGGAACGCAATGCCCTAGTAGGACAGTAGGGTATAATGAGTTCTTTAAGGTAAGATGGCGCCTGCCCATTAAGGGCTTTGTAGGCGAGAAGAAGAATTTTAAATGCTATCCTGTGTTCTATAGGGAGCCAGTGTAAGGCAGCCAGAACAGGAGTAATGTGGTCCCTTTTCCTAACTCTGGTTAGTACACGAGCTGCAGCATTTTGAATCAGCTGAAGCCACTTGACTGACTTCTTGGTACACCCTGATAATAAAGAGTTACAATAATCCAGCCTTGAAGTAACAAATGCATGGACTAGTTTCTCTGCATCGCTTTGAGGCAAGATATGCCTGATTTTTGCAACATTGTCTTTGTGCTCCAAACATTCAGCAAGACATCACACTGAACATCACTGAACGGTGATTTTGAGAAAAAGGCTTCCAAAGAAAGTGTCCCAGGTCTCTGCTAGTTGGTGCCTTTACATGCCTACAGTCTAACCGCCTCATTTGGTGTCTTTAAGTTCTCTTTTCTTGTTCAGTGAGAGAAAGCTCGTCTCTGCTGGGCTTTAACGAGTGCATCGAAGTCAGGCTGAATGTCTGAGGTGGAGATGCGAAGCACAGCTGACAGATGATCATCAGTGAGAGAGGATCTATACCTGGATTTCATAAACTTCATCTTTGAAAATGTTTGTTCACATAATAGGTAGAGCCAAAGAGAACCAACATCTTCTGAGCATGTCTCCTCATGTTTGGAAAGTTCTCTTCTCCAGCAGAGATCCTGACTTAAAGCGCTCTGCCAGTACTGCATCAGACTGCAGGTAAAGGGAGAGGAGATCTTCAAATCGCCTTAAACTCACCATGCAATGCTCCTAACATGGATGAGTACCTGTGGAGGTGATCAGCTGATGGTGTGACTTCTTTCAGGGTCTGCATGTGAGTGTTGCTCCAGGCTGAACCAAAAGGCCCTCGCCTTGCAGTTTGGTGTTCAGCTCATTCATCAGTGCAGTCACATCAACAGCAAATGTAACATCTGCCATCCAGTCCTCATCTGAGAGCTCTGGGAAGTCTTTGCCTTTCTTCTCACAAAACTCTCGAATCTCTGCTTTCAGGTCCCGAACTCTTTTGAGCACTTTGCCCAGGCTGAGCCACCTGACAGCTGTGTGGTGCCGATGTCACGATGCTCAGTCTCATGCTCCTCCAAAAGTGCAACAAACTGTCTGTGATTCAAAGCTCGTGCCCTGATGAAATTTACTATTTGAGTAACAACATCAATAACGTGGTGAATTGTTAGCACGGACTTGCACAACACATGTTGGTGTATAATACAATGCAAAAATACCAGTTTCTGATCCGCGTCGATTTCAGTCACTTTATCTTGCATACGTTTCAAAAGTCCAACATTTTTACCTGTAAGATTTGGACAACCGTCCGTTGTGACACCTGCCAGTCCGTCCCATTTCAGCGTGTCCATGCACGCATTTACCTCAGGTCGCTCCCTGTCGTCGTCCCTTTCATCGGCCGCATTGCTGCCAGCTCCTCCGTAATCTTGAAGTCCGGCGTTTTCCCACGGACAAATACGAGTAACTGCGCTGTGTCGCGGACATCACAGGTCTCGTCCAAAGCCAAGGAGATAAAGTCAAAACTTGCCACTTCATGTTGCAGCTGAAGCTCCAGATTCCCCGCAATGTCCTCGATCCTTCTCGTCACGGTTCGCCTGGACAGCGGGACTTGCTCAAAGGCTTCTTTTTTTCAGGGCATATTAGTGCTTCAGAGTCCACCAAGCACTCTTTGACAAACTCCCTCTCTGAGAATGGCTTACTGTGTTTAGCTGTGTTTAGGTCTTGGTTGCTGCATCCCTGGATGTGTGAAGCTTGGTAAAAAAGCCTTACGGCCCGTCTACACTACAGGCGTCAAAAAATGCTTTCAACGCTTCGCCCATTCATTTGAATGGGGTGACGTAGGATATTTTCAAACTTTGCCGAACTGCATTGTGGGTAGCATGGCAAGGCTTTGCAAGCATCGCGAGCATCTATCGGCGTCAAAAGTTGAACAATGTTCAACTTTTGAGGCTCGAAGCTGGCGTCAGCCAATGAATCCCGTTTATGCAAATCTGCCAGTACAAGCACTAGCCAATCAAACCGCGTGTATGCTGGGAGAGACGACGCAGGTCATTTCCTCATATTCAAAAAAATGGAGGGAAAATTCATTATAGCGGTAGTGAATCACCCGGTGCTGTATGATCAGTCTCTGTTCATCTACCGGGATACAAACCGGAGGAGCGAGGCATGGAGGGAGGTGGCAGAGACAGTGGAGGAGCGAGGCATGGAGGGAGGAGGCAGAGACAGTGGAGGAGCGAGGCATGGAGGGAGGAGGCAGAGACAGTGGAGGAGCGAGGCATGGAGGGAGGAGGCAGAGACAGTGGGTGAAACTGGTAGGTTTTCGCCTGTTTGGGGATTTTATATCCAGTTTACTTCGTTTTAACATTGCTATTGCTTTGTATGTCGGGGGCGGGAGATTCATGTGATTGGTTGTTGGTCGCGTTGCTCGCAAAAAATCGCCAAGCCTCAGACATGCCCAGCTTCAAGCTTTTTCGACGCCTGTAGTGTAGACGGGCCGTTAGCTAGCAAAGCTTCCGATGTCCGCACATTTTTGAGCGCTAAAGTCGTCTTGTGACAATGATCCAATAACGCACATGTCTTGATTTGACGTATTGCGTCATTATGTACGTGAATAAAAAACAACTTCAAAATAAAAGCATTGCCGCTTTAGTCCATGCATGAGGTCAAATTAGAAAATATGTTTATTTTGTAATTTCCAATTAACCTTACACGGGCCGGTCAGAGTCAACCAAAGGGCCGTATGTGGCCCAGGTCTGATCTAAACACTCAGAGTCCTTTACCTCCCTGAGCTGACGTTATCAGATTGTCTGACAGGAGAGAGCTCTCCTCCTCCTGGTTGTAGAAACAATTCCTGATGTACGTTAGCGCTCTCTCGTTCACTCTCTCGCTCTCTTGCTCACACAAAATGCGCTCGTCGTGCCACACACACCGAGCTATGACACACAAAGACCCAGAATAACTTTTAATGCTGTATCCTATTCTTTTCGATGGCTTTATTGTATGATATGACGGATGAACAGATCGCCACTGGGCTTACAACTAAAGACACAGCTACGCAAAAAACGCAGCATGTGCACGGCTCTGAGAATCTGCCTTGGTACAAAGCAGCAGTGAAAACATGGGACGGAGTTTCATTGATTTGGGCGTTCTCTCAATAAGCAAGTGGAACTGATTTGGGTAATGAAGCACTGACACAGCGCTCTACAACGAGTGGCGAGTGGAGAGACCGATGCACTGACTTTCCCCATGGTAAAGGTGGGGGGGAGTTGTCCCACCCTCATATAATGCCATGCATTAATGAGAGATGGTAAATTGGTAATTTCCGTAAAAACCCCACAAAAGTAGAAGTTCAGACCTCGAAGTGGAAGCCCTCGATGCGGGCGAGGGCCTGCAGGATCTTGGAGGACACGGTGGTGGAGATCATGAAGAGCTTCTGGAGGTCTGCAGGGTCGGGGTGAGCCTCCTTCCAGTGGAGGAACATCCACCAGCCCAGCAGCGCCGCCAGCTCGTTCCCCGAGAACACCTTCCACCCACCCCTGGAAAATAGAAATGTAATTTTTACGGAGAATGTGCAAATTCTGAAAAAAAACTGAAATTCTGAAAGAAAAGTGAAATCTGAAAATGTTTTGGAAGTTAAAGATCTGGTTAAAAAGTCAAACTCTGAGAAAACGGTGAAATTCTTATAAAAAGGCACATTCTTAAAAGTGAAAATCTGAGACAATCTGGGACATTTTAAAATAAGTGAACATTCTGAAAAAAGTCCAAATCTGGGGAAAACGTGAATTATGGGGAAAAAAGTCACATTCTGGGGGAAAAACATTTTTTTATCAAAAAGTGAAATTTGGAATAAAAGGGAAATTCTTAAAAACATTTCAAAATTCGGGAAAAATTCAAATTATAAGAAAAAAGTAACATTTGTAAAGAAAAAGTCAAATTTGAAGAAAAAGTCAAATTCCTAGATCTCAATTCTGAGATTTTTCAAAGCCAAAAGAAATTTGAGAAAAAGTGTAATGAAACTCAGCCTTTGCTGACCATTGACATGCACTAACTTCTAATAACACACTACAGGGAGGGCAATGATAGAAATAGAACATCTAATTCATGGGAATAGCTAAAAGCAACATCTTAACAAGCAAATCAATGTATAAATGATTGAAAAAGCTGAAGGTAGGTGTTTGATAATAGCTAGATGTGTGACTCCGCAGTGCCTTTGAGCAAACGTTACCTGTCACATCGCTCTGCCGCAGCGAGTCGGTCGGCGTCGGGGTCCGTCGCCAGAACGATGTGAGCGTTTTCCCGCTCTGCCAGGAGGAGAGAAAGCTCCTGGAGAGTACATTCAAACAGAAATACTACAGTTACTGGAGGAAATACTTAGTCATTCAAACACAACATTCCACCACCAAAATAAAGCCTCTGAACATTTTGAAAAAAGTGAATATTTTTGACAAAAAGTCAAATTATGAGAAAATAGTCAAATTCTGAAAAAAAGTGGACATTTTGAAATGTTTTGAATGTGTGTGTGTACCAGCACGGACGCCCCCTCCTCGGGGTTAGGGCAGCGCAGCGAGGGGAACTCCGGGTCGGGGTCCTTCTGCTCCGGCACCGCGAGCGGAGGAACGAAGCCG